GGGGGGGGGGGACACGCGCAAGTGAGGTTAGTCAGTGGGTGGCATCCCCCCAAAACAAGACCTGGCGCCTTTTGGGGTGGCAAAAAAATATAAGACAGGGTCTTTGACCCAAGACTGGTGCTCCAAACAGCAGTGTTGCTCCAAACGTGGAAGTGGCAGCTCCAAACGCGGCGGCGGCGGCATGGGAAGAAGGGAAATCAACGGCGGCGGGCGCTGAAGGTCTTGGGTCTGCCGCAAAGGTACTTGGCAGGAGTAGGGAGCTCTCCGCGCTCTGCCGTGATCGCGCATTAGGAGCAGCTGGTGGCGAAGAACTGCTGCCCGCGGGGCGCTCCTAACGGCAAGTTCCCCCGCCCTTCCCCCCATTTTGCATGTTTTAAAATAGGCCTAAATTTGGGGGGAGGGGCTTAATTTCATTTTATGCCTAGAAAACATGCTGGGTCTTCCTATTGGGGGAGGTCGTATTGTTGGAGAAACAAGGTGTGTGTGTGTGTGTGTGTGTGTGTGTGTGTGTGTGTATATATAACCACCATTAAGTACGTGCCAGTTGCCCGATTTTGATCATGTGACACAGGGATGCTGCCAGTGTGACAACCAGTCATAAGCCTTTTTTCACTTAGAACGGTCACTCAACGAACTGTTGTAAGTCGAGGACTAACTGTACTGGGTTTGGTTGGTAAGGGAGGGAAATTAACGTAGCCACGGATGGCTTTGCCCTCTTGTTAAGCCACATCTCCAGATAAAGCACAGGGTGGACAGGGAGATGTGCGAATTACCCGTTCAGGACCCAGCGTCCCTTAAACCAGAATGCCTTGTTCCTGCACAGAAACCCCCGATGATCATTTGATACGATGGCGGTTTCCTTGAGGCTAGAGGTTGACCAGGCCAGGATTAGGCAGGCCTCTGTTGTTGTGGGACTGCGTCTCCCTCCCCACAACCCTGTAATTCACTTTAAGGGAAGATGGAAGGAGATTCCGGCACATTTCTCCTGCCCCGCTGCTTTGGGGGGGAAGGGGAGCATGGGAATGGAGTACCTACGGGCTTCAGTTCCAGATCTTCAGGAAGCTATCCCACGATCCTGTCGCCACTGCCATGCCATCGTCGGTCACACCTAAGCAACTGACACGGTTATCGTGGCCAGCTAAGACGCCTGCGGAGGGGAGGAGAGAGGAGAATGAAACGCAATTTAGCAGGAGGAGAAGTGCAACACAGCCAAGTAGCAAATATCTACCACAGAGTCATCTCGTGTGTGTGTGTGTGTGTGTGTGTGTGTCTATAAAACAGGGAGGGGGAGGGAAGGAAGAAAGGAATAGAGGGGGGAGGAGATGAAGGAAGAAAATGGAGGAGGAAGGAAGAGGGAGGGGAAGGGAGGGAGGCAGCAGAGAGAGAGAAAGCAAGAGAGAAGGAAGGACAGAGAAGGAAGGAAGGAAGGAAGGACAGAGAAGGAAGGAAGGAAGGAAGGAAGGAAGGAAGGACAGAGAAGGAAGGAAGGAGGGAGGGAAGGAAGGAAGGAAGGAAGAGAGAGGGAGGAGGGGAAGGAGAGAGAGAAAGTAAGAAAGAAGGAAGGAGAAATCAGGGAGGGAGGGAGGAGAAAAGAATCATGAATGGCTGAAGGATTTGATGATCCTTCCTTCCTCCCCCCCCCCCCCCCCCCCCCCCCCTTTCCGGTTGACCTCCCCCTCCCCCGCCCCCCCCCCCCCCCCAAAAGAGGGCCAAAGCCTGACCTGCTCTGTCCGCCTTGAGCGTGTCCCACACGTTGCAGTTGAAGTCGTCGTAACCGGCTAGCAGGAGACGCCCGCTCTTGGAGAATGCTACGGAGGTGATGCCACAGATGATGTTGTCGTGGGAATAAACCATGAGCTCTTGGTCAGCACGGAGATCGAAAAGCCGGCACGTGGCGTCGTCGGAGCCGGTGGCGAAAGCGTTGCCATTGGGGAAGAACTGCGCGGGGAGAAAGGAACGGATGGGAGCTATTTAGCAGGAGGGTGGTTGGCGGTCGTGCAGCCAGCCAGAGGTTCAGCCTGGAGCTGGCATTTCTGTCCACCTATTGGATCCCACCCAAAGATCCGGGATGGGCAGGTGACGCTGCTTAATAATATGGAAGGATTTTTTTTAAAGCATACTGGTTTTGGTTTTTTTTGCTTTTAATGTTTTATTTGTATGCTCTCAGCGAGGGACATGGGCAATTCCTCAATAAGATGATGGATGGATGGATGGATGGATGGATGGATGGATGGATGGAGAGAGATACAAAGATAGATATATAGAGATAGACAGATCTAGAGATAGATACAGAAATATAGACAGACACAGATAGACATTTCAAGAGATGGACAGACAGAGAGATAGAGATAGAGATACAGACAGAGATAGATATAGACAGATAGAGAGAGAGAGAGACAGATAGACACAGACATATATATATATATAGTGATATAGACAGAAACAGATAGAAATATAGACAGAGATATATATATATACAGATAGAGACAGATACAGATACACAGAGACAGATATACAAAGACAGATAGACAGAGATAGACAGATCTAGAGATAGACAGACATAAATATAGACAGAGATAGATATAGTGATAGAGAAAGACAGATAGATAGGACGAGAGAGATAACAGAGACAGAGAGATATGCATAGACAGATGACATAGATTAGATTAGATTAAGAGTGGGAAGAGACCTTGTAAATCATCTAGTCCAACCCCTCACCCCGAAAGACAGATGATAGATATTAAAGATAGGTATGATAGACAGACCAAGCAACGGCCACCCGCCCTTCCTACGTACACAAATGGCATTGATGTCCGACTCGTGGCCGGTGAAGGTCTGCCTGCACATCCCTTCTCGGACATCCCACAGCTTGGCTGAGGCATCGCAGGCACCAGAGACGAAACACTTGGAATCTGGCGCGAGGGAGAGGCTCATGACATCGCCGGTGTGGCCGGTGAATGTGGTGGTTTGCTGTCCCGTTTCTATGTCCCACAGGGCGCTGCGGTAGGGCGGGAGAACGGAAAAGCCGCCATCAGAACAACCGAGTTCATCTTCCCGGCGGGGGGGGGGGTTCCCCCTCCCTTTAAACCTCTGCTGGATTCCCACACACAGGTCACATTTTGTAAATTTGCAAGCTCTCTCTGACTTGCAGGCTTTAAAACCGCGATGGCGAACCTGTGGCACGCAGAGCCATTTCTGCCGCCACGCAAGAGGTCGCCCAGAAGAGCCCCACTGCGCAGCCCCCCCCCCCCCCGCCAGCCAGCCGATTGTCAGGTATCTGCCGTGCAAGGTTGAGCTCAGCCTTCCATCCTTCCGAGGTCGATAAAACGAGGACCCAGATTGTTGGAGGAAAGAGGCTGACTCTGTAAACCGCTTAGAGAGGGGGCTGTAAAAGCACGCTGAAGCGGTATATAAGTCTAAGGGCTATTGCTATTGCGGTTGATGTGAGATAAACTTGATGCCTGCATCGATCTGCAGACATCAAAACAGAGATGGAGTCAGGGGGATAAAAAAAGGAACAGAGTAGAAAGGGACTTCTTCGACTGCCATAAAAATCTTGATTAAATCTGGGGGATAAGGAGTGCTTTTGCCTAGTATTTATGATCAAGGAGGGATCGGAGGCGAGTTCCGCAAGGGTTGTATGACTCCTAATGATAAAAGGCACAAGCTTCCATCACACACACACAAAAAAACCCCTCCTGATTTCGGGGTGCTAAAAATAAACTCCTGCCTGAACATTGGTGCTCGGAGTAAAAACAGACCTCCTCCTCCTTCCCTTTTTATGTTTCTGCAGGATTTTCAAGGCTGGCAGGGGAGAGAAGGACCTCGACCGAATTGTTTAACATTTTGTTTTGAGCTGCGCGAAAGGCTTCGACGGCCGTTGCTTCCCGAGCACGGATCTTACCAAGTGGTATCTCCAGAGCTGGTCACAATCTGATTATCATCCACAAACCGGCAACAGGACAAATAGCCTGCAAAAAAGAGAAAGCGAGAGATTGTTGTGGGTGGACGGCAGCGGAGTAGGACAGTGAGGAAGAAAGGGGACCAGTCTGGGAGTCTGGGGAGGACTCGGACAAGGGTCCTGCGGCTGATGCAGAGATGGGACTAGGACCATCTGAGAGTTATGTGCTGCCTCCGCAGCCTCCGGAGTCTGGTGAGGCAGAGGAACAAGGGGAGCCTGTTCCCAGTGCGCGTATGCATAGAGCTGCCAGAAGGCAAAAGCAGCAAAGACAAAAGGGGCAACTCGGGAATAAGGCTTGGAGGTGATTGGCCCTCCCATAAGGTATAAAGGAAGTGCAAAGGTAGGAAAACCTTGGCAGGAAGCAAGGTCGATTACTCTGATCGGTTTGGACTCTGAAAGCTCCGTGGTGAATTTGTTCTGTTTGGTTTTGGAAAGACTAATTGGGACTTTAGGTGTTGGCAGCACTTCAAGTCAGATGAAGGTGCATTCTTATCAGACTTCTCCCGAATAAACTTTTGCAGACGTCCCTGGGATTAATTATAACCGGTTAAGTTCTGGGCTGTGAATGACGATAATTCACAGCCATTGAACTAAAATAAAAGGGTTTCTGGATTTTATGTGTGTTGGTTGGTGTCTCAGGAAGCCTTGGTCAGAACAGAGATGGGTATATGTGTGTCAAATCCTTTGAGGTGGTCCAAGCAAGGAACTGAAAACCATGAGAACAAAAAGAGTGTGAAATGGGGCAAAGCTCGCTTAACAACAGAAGTTGCGGGCTCAATTGTGGCCGTAAGCTGAGGACTACCTGGACTTTCCAGGGAATTAGGGAGGGAATTAGGGAGGGTCCCTTTTTAACACTTCCCATACCCCCATTCCTTTGGAAGGCTCTTATCTGACAGCTGCCCTGGCTGCAGCTCTTTCCTCCTTCTGTCTCCCAAGGTTATTCTCACAACCCAAAATGTTTCACTCATCACAGGGAACTTCCACATCCATATCCTTGGGTTCATTGTCGGCCCACCCACCCCATTTCAACAGCGAGGAACTAAGGAGGGACACGTCGACGCCAGACTATCTCAGGACAGGATCTGATCCAGTGAGATATTTCAGGGTAGCTTCAAATAAACCAAAGGCCAGAGGAAAAACTGTGTCATGCCCCTGTTGGGAGACTGACTCCGAGGGAGAGGAGGAACAGCCAATAGGGAGTGGGAGTGTGGCTCCGGTGGTTGTGGAGGAAAACTGGGGAAGGGCACAGGCCAGATAGGCATTCAGAGGAAGATGCAGGCCCATCCCCTCTTCATCCTAGGGCACGCAGGGAGGAGCAGATAAGGGAGAAACGTGAATGGCATGGTCTACGGGGGAGGAAGGGGCCCTGATCCCCTTCATGGGCTGCAGCTGTGAGGACTGGTTAAAAGGACAAACTGCACATGGCCCAGTGCTTGAAGCAAAGTGTGCATTATTCTTGTCAGAGCTTATCTGTGTTTTGGCTTCCTCCCAACTGTGGTTTCTGCGTTATCTGGTAGAAGTCTGCAATTAATGATCCTTGCCTGCCGTAGTAATTCCTTCACTGTGGTTTGTGTTGGGGTTTTTTATTTCAAATTAACTTTACTTTGGGTGCGGACTGCATTTACTCCCTCCATAAACTGCGTTCTTTAAGAGTTTGATTTCCAGGCGAGGATAATTGGACATTGGGGCCCAAGTTGGAGGCATTAAAGGAACCTTATTCTATTTCTGTGCCTTGGTTATTTCTGTATTCCACCCTGGATCATCCCAAACCCCTTTGCCATAAATATTATCCCCCACCTTAGCTTCAACTCAGGCTTATTCAGGAAAAAATGATCCCATCTGACTCTCTCACCTGTAAACCTGGCCAGGTTTTATAAATAGCTCTTTATTACCGCCCTCCCCGCGAGCTGTTCTCGGAGTGCTGCTTTTTTGTCTCCATCCAAAAAGCCTGCAGCAGAGCGAAGCCAGCGGGACGCAGAGCTTTGCTTGGGGAAGGTGGGGGGAGGGATCTCTTTTAAGGACTGCCAAAGGTTTTCCGGAGCCAAGCTGGCAAGTGGGAGGAAGAGTCCCTGAGCTGAGTTGCACCTTCTTAATTTTATTTATATTTTATTTTTTTCTGCAAACAGAAAGCGCAGAGTAAATTAAGGGGCGGGTGGATGTCGCGGTGAGCAAGGGGGCTTGTTTGCTTTGTTTGCTCACAATTCCATATTTAAGGAGCTCCGTAGAACAGAGGTGGGTTATGGGCTATCTCTAGGGACCAGCGCCCCAAGGAGCGGTGCACAATTCTCCCCGGGCTGTGCTGGGATACATTACAAGCCTAATCTTTGGCGATGCACCCATCTTTATTCTTCGAGTTACATTTTGCTTTTCCTCTAGAATGGGTATTGGCAACCCGCGGCCCTCTGCTGCGGCTACTTGTTGGGTGATCCCACCATTGGCTAGCCCTGCCCGTCACCCTCCCTTCCCAGTCACTCCTTGCCTGGCCTGAGATGGTAAAACCCCCAAAAAACAGAAACGAGAGGGAAGGAGAGACGACTGGGAGCCACGAAACCTGGGTAGGTGTGGCATGTGTGTGTGTGTGTGCATGTGTGTGTGTGTGTGTGTCATGTGACTGGGTGGGAGTGTTGTTGAGTTGGCCACGCCCACCCGGGTTTTGTGGCTCCCGGTGTTTTCTTTTCTGTGGGAAATAGGTGCAAATGGCTCTTTTGAGTGTTGAAGGTTGCAGACCCCTGCTCTGGGAGAAGGATGTCCAACCTTGGCAGAACCCTCATATATATATATTTTTTTCCTATTCAGGCAGAACATCCTGACACGTGGCTGAAACCACTCATTATTGAATCCCTGGTCTCCTGCAGGAGCAGAATAACTCTTGTTATTCTGTACTCTGCCATTGTTGAGGAGCGCGGGCGAAACCCAGACAAAAACAGCGCAAGAATGGCTTCAGCTCATCCAAAAAAACCTGGATCGTCGGTTACAAAGGATAAACGTCTCTGTTAAACTATAGGAGGTCAACGACAGCTCCACGGGATTGCTTTCCCAATTAGTCTGTCACTCTCAAGGTGTGTCAAATCACTGCCTTCACACCTGTTATGCTCTGCAAGAATAACGAATGTTCCCAAAGGAATCCCACACAATCCAGAACGACTAAAAAAAAAAGGAGACATTAGCGGTCCTTTTTAATCCTGAACCCTTTTCAAATCCGACACCCGAGACCGAGATTCATATCCCATCTGCTTATCCTCTTAAAAACGTTCATCCTTTTTATTAGCACTCTTGAATTTCGTCACGCTGAATTTTGTTTAATGGCCTGCAAGTGGACAGAGGCAGATTCGGAGATATTCCCAATACATGCAGCCCTGGGGAGGAAGAATTCCGCTGGATAATCGTGCTAAGCCTATTATCATCTTTTTAATGGCACCGGGGGGGGGGAATAAAAATAAAACCCCCAGCTGTTTGGGGTATTGAACAGCTTAATCTCCTGGGACAGATGTAGCTGACAGCTTTAAAAAATTCAGCTGTCAGTAGTCAGTTCTCTATCTCTTTCTCTATGATTGGGGGTGGAAAGTGGCCCCCAAGCTTTTGGGCACGAGGGACCAGTGCCATGGAGAGAGGTTTTTCCACGGACTGGAGGGGCTGCATCCTGTGGGATGGGGGTTCACTTGTTTGCGTGGACTGGTTGCTGGCCTGCCGTGGACCGGTGCCAGTCCATCGATCGGGGGGTTGGGAACTCCTGCACTAAGTAATATCTTGCAGAACCAGCCCCCAGAGATCCTTCTTATCATCTTCTTTTAATGACCCCATAATCCCTTGTGGGGTGGAGTCTGGGCAACTGAATGGAGCTGAGTGTTTACTGGCCGGATGCCCTTCCCTGTCGCCAGTGTGGAGTTTTGTTCAGCAGATATATTCTCATTGTGCCCAGAGAGAGAAATACCTGCCTCTACCCAGGATTGAACTCACGGCCTCCTGATTGTGAGGGGAGAGCTCCACGTCTAGGCCACTGCACCACTCACCCAGAGATCCTTCATGTATCCTAGCCAAACTCCCTGTCTCTACGCTGCATTCAATCTGGAGAAGTGACGTTCACACAACCACAGAACAAGGAGGCAGCCAATTTAGCTGCCTTTTTAAGAAGCCAGGAGTGGTTGCGATTGGTAGATTTATATTCCCAGCATCCCAAGATGGCCGGGGACTCTGGGAGTTGAAGTCCACACATCTGGGAAAAGCAAAATACTGAACTGAGCATCTACCTGTCCCAGGAATTCTGCTCAGGAATTACCACCTGACGTAAGGTGAGCTTTCCCTTGAGTTGCCACAAAAATAACCCAAAATTTGGAATATATTTTGAAGCCGCCCAACAAACAAGCTGATGTTTCCAAGAATGGACCATCATCCAGAGGTCAAAAGGAACCGAGTCTGGATGAGAGGTGGACGTACCTGTATGCCCGGCCAGCTCACGGCTTACTCGGACGTTGCCTTCACGTGTTTTCAAGTTGTAAATGGAACAAATGTTATCGAGACCACCGCAGGCCACGTAGTTCCCGGAAGGGGCGTATGCACAGGTCATGACCCAAGACGAACGCAAAGGGATGGCATGAACCTAAGCAAAAACACGGGGGGGGGGGGGGGGGGATAATTTAGTGAATCAAACAGGCTTACAGGAGGCGGGGAGATGTTTCGCTGGCAGTTCAAGGGGCAGGGATGTAAATTTCCTGGCAAATTGGACGCGGGTCCTGTTTTTACCAATAAATTACCCTGAAATAAGGCAAAAGTTGTTTGACAAAAATGGAACCGCACTGCTGTTCCTCTCAGCCCAGGAAATGAATTGTGATTTCTAAACGTCATTGAGATGCTGCTTTTTAAGCCCTTATTTCTATTGGGCAGCCACTTAGGGAAAAGGCCTCTCTCGTGTTATTTGGCTTTTGCCAGCGCTGAATTGCTTGCAAAGGGACTGCTTACCTTCTCCTATTTTTCCCCACCACAGCCCTGCGAGGTAGATTGGACAGAGAGACACTGAGTGGCTTGAACTCCCTGAGGGAGCTTTTATGGCTGCGGGGTGGGGGTGGGGTGGGGGGGGGACACGAGAACCTGAGTTTCCCTGCTCTTAACCTTCACTACTTTAAGTACTATACATGCTGGTACATGCTGGTTTACTAGTGTTGCATGAATTTGGGGAGGAAATAAACCGGAATTGAGGAAAGACAGCTCTAATGGGTACTTTAGGGAACTTTGAGAAAACATAGCGATAGGGAAAAAATGACAAGGTAAGTAGCTCTGTAAGATTGCAAACGATTAGTAATTTCTATTTCCTGCTAGAGTTCCCTATTTTTTTACCCAGCCAGAAGCTCTTAAATGTAATATGAATCTACTGCCAGCAGCAGAGGCTCAACTTTTCTGCGGCTTCAAGAAATAATTATTTTTACCAAGATAAATCAGAATATTGTAAAAGTATGGAAAAAATTCTACGTATGGAGGGACATGAAAGGAAGTCCATAAAATTGAAATTAGAATTTAAAGCGAAATAGAAATGATGTATAAGGATAAGACCTAAAATGATACAAAGCCTAAATGTATAGATGTATGTATGTATGTATATATGTGTATGTGTATAAATGTTCATATTTTCTTTTGATTTTTTCAAATGTAAAATGTAAAGACTGAAATGTATGTCAAAGAAAGTCCACCACGTTCAATATTTTTAATGTTTATTTTCAATAAAAAAAATTTAAAAAAAAAGAAATTATTATTTTTGGCTCACTACTAAAGGAGTAAATGGGCATGTATCTTAACTCTTCACTAGGGCTGTAGCAGTCTTAAAAGAACAGAGGCTTTATCGAATCAAGTTGCACTGAAGTTTGAATTGTTTTGCTGCAATTCAAAAACAAGAAAATTGGCTCGTCTCTCACCTTGTTTGTGGTGTAGCTGTCCCAAATGATCAGTTTTCCATCTTGTGATGCACTAACCAGAAGCCTAGAAGGGCAGACAAGGGAGAATAAATTGGGTTTTTTGGTTTTGGTTTTGCTAATCATACAGTGAACTGGTCCAGACTGGCCCCGATCAATTGATTGAATACTTCACAGCAAACTAAAGTCAGCTTAGCTTTAACCTAGGAACCGTGTCAAGGGCTTCGACGCCGTTTATACCCTGAAGTTTAGAGGGCAGCCATCTGCACATATCTTTGTTTAAATGGCCATTTAACCATCCAAAACTCAGCCACGGGAATCGCCTGTACGGTTAAGTCCTTGAATCACGACTACAATTAGAACCAGAACTTCCACCGCTAATAAGAGCGGCTGCTAAGCCAGCCATGCCCCAATTTTGCGACCTTTTGGGGGGCTCATGGTTGTTAAGTGAATCTCAATGCCCACTGAATAAAGCACATGGTCGTTATGCAAATCTGCCTTTCCCACCCCCATAGATTTTGCGGGTTGGAAGTCAAGAGGGGAAGGCCACGAACGGAAATCATGCGACCTTGTGACGTGCCAGCGGTCGTAAATCCATGGCTGAATTTCGATCGCGTGGCTGCAGAGACGTCATAATGGTTGTAAGCAACTTTTTCCAGTGCTGTTGTAACCTTGGAACAGTCACTAAATGAACAGTTGTAAGTTGAGGACCACCTGTATTATACAACGCTGAACACCTGGGAAAGTGTATTGATCAAAATGGATCAGAATTGGTTTGAAAGTAACTGTGGGGAGGATCTGCTGATATTTCTACCTTCAGGTCTTTCTTTTCTATGAGATGACAAAGAAGCGGGAATCTGTACAGAGCTTAACTCTGATTGTAGTTATTTTATAGTGTAAATGCTATTTATCCCTGCACAGCGTGTCATTATGTTGAATTTACATATTTTAAATGGAGCTTATAAACTTTGCTTATGTAATTAGCATTTTAACTTTAAGCCTGTTCTATGTTTGAATGCCATTGTGACACAGTTCATAAACATCAGTTAAAAAAAAATACGAGTAACACGGATTAGTGGACTTGAAGAAACGAAGTCGAGTCCTTAATAAGATTCTTTTCCTTGGATTAAAAACAGCCCTCTTGAGAAGGAGGAGGAAGAGGAGGAGGAAGAAGAAGAGGATGAGGAGGAAGAAGAAGAGGAAGAAGAAGGCAAGAAAGAGGAGGAAGAGGAGAAGAAAAGAAGAAGACAAGAAGGTGGTGGTGGAGGAGAAGGAGGAGGAAAAGAAGAAGAGGAGGAGGAAGAAGAAGGGAACTTACCTGGAATCAGTTCCCCAGTGCATTGCATAAATTTTGGCCAAGTGTCCTCGCAGTGTTCTTCTAGTGCGCATCTGTATACGACCCACAGGATCAATGTTGGCTGTGATCTGAAAAGAAGAATTGCACACAATATGTCAAACAACAGCAACGACACAAAAGTGTGCGAGAGAGAGGGGTGGAGGAGAGGGGGAGAGAGGGGAGAGACAGGGACAGGGAGAGAGAGGGAGGGAGAAAGAGAGAGAGAAATAGAGTGAAGAAGAAAAGAGGGGGGGAAATGGGGAAAGAGGCAGAGAGAGAGGAAGAA